GTTAAATTCTGTTGTACAGCGTCACGAAAACCCTTTGACCCTTTGGGCTTTCTTTCATGGAGCCGTTCATTGAACTCAGCTGGTTGAACTGAATGTGTGAGAGAATGAATAAAAACCACCACCATCTTCACAATCCCACCCTTCACAGAGGCGTGAAGGACTTTTGCCCAAAGGCCATGGGTACAGGAGTTTGAAAAGGAAGTGTAGGCAAATTTGTAGACTGTGGGAAGGAACACAGAAAGTACTTGGCTGGCTACCACTGGAAGATGCTGCAAGGGAGGGTAGAGAGCCGCCACCTGGGGCGCCCGGGTGGCTCAGTTAAGTGTCTGCCTTCAGTCTGGGTCATGATCCCAGGGTCCTGGGAACACGTCCTGTCTTGGGCTCCCTGCTCAGTGACAAGTGTGCTTTTCCCTTTGCCCTCTCCCTCTGCCATCCCTCTCCACTGTGATTGCTTTTGCTCTCTCTCAAATAAATAAATAAAATCTTAAAAAAAAAAAATGCCATTGGTTGGCTGCTGGTTAAAACTCACTTCGGTGAAGTCCTCCATGGACACGCCCCACGCTCTTCAGTCCCCAGTCTGTGGCCCTGTGTCTTTGTTTCAGAGCCTAGTCTCCGTGCTCTTGGTACACATCTGTTTTCTAGCAGATGTCTGGTAGCCTGTGAGAAGTCCAGCTTTGTGTCTTTGACTTTTTTTTTTTTAAGATTTTATTTATTTATTTGACAGAGAAAGAGAGAGAACAGGTAGGCCAGAGAGGCAGGCAGAGGGAGAGGGGGAAGCAGGCTCCCTGCTGAGCAGAGAGCCTGATACGGGGCTCGATTCCAGGACCCTGAGATCATGACCTGAGTCGAAGGCAGAGGCTTAACCCACTGAGCCACCCAGGCGCCTCATGTCTTTGACTTTTGCACAGTGAGGTTTAAGCCTACTGTGTGACCGCAGTTGGCTCCTGCAGAGGGAGCCGGGGGTGCCTGATGGTATGCCGTGTGTGGAGAACTTGGGTCTTAGGAGAAGGCTCACGTGCAGATACTTATGTCCGATGTCTCTTCTCACTCGGTCTTCTCTCTCTCTGCGGGTGTCAACTGCCTTAAGCAGAATGTTCTACCACACACAGCCCGTCACACACTGTGTTGGATTCTGTGTGTTTGTTTTCTTTCCTCTCTGCTCCTTCATGCTGGGGGCTGCTGAGAGCAAGAGACCCTGTTTTATTCCCTTTGCAAGCCCGTCCTAACACAGGGCTCGTGCGAGGCCAGAGGTGCTCGGCGGTTGGCGGTCCACGGAAGTGGTGGCCGGGCGTCTCGGAGGTGATGTGCCCACGTCCACACGAATGCAGTGCTCCTCATTCTCTCACTTCATTTGGGCAAAGGGAAAAGTCTATGAACAAAGGGTGGGGCGGGCTGTGAATTCACACGGATTGTTTCCTCCTGTCCCCGGAGAAAAAAGCATCTTCAATCGAGCCCCACACTTCGTAACTCAGTTTAATAATGGGTATGTCTGTGCCCTGGGTTCTCTTGTTCTTAGAATTCCCTCCTCTGTTGAGGGAGTCTCCTCCCTGCTTCAGGGATGCAGTGCTTTCTGCTTCCTAGTGGGAAGGAGCTCCTTGGCAGGGCTCTCGGAGGCCCCGGGGGGGAAGTTGTGTGGTTTTGACGCCATGTGGGGGGGTCTGGGAGGTGGGGGACCGGCTCTATTGAAGCCATTTCAAGAAGCGGCTCCTTTCAGCGAGGGCAACAAGGAGTGTCTTGTTCTGTCCTCTCGAGGTTCTGTGAGGGGGCCGCAGTGTCAAAGGGAGGCCATTAGCATCCAGGCAGCATGCCACGGGAGTGAGAGGTTTCATCTGGACTTCTGGAAACTGGCTGCAGGGTCAGGCCGTCCCTGAAATGGGCCACCGGATGCCAGAAGTGGGCTGTGCTCAGGGCGGGACTCAAAGGGCCGCAGACGGGAGTCAGGGCCACGCAGAGGTGGGAGGCCAAGAGGAGGCCGCTGCCTCCGTGGTCGGCTGTGGTGCACAGGGATGCACATGGTCACCTTTCGTTTCTCTTGGTGAATGGGTCTTCCATCTGGCAAGTAGGACTTCGTTTTCAGTTGCCTTTGTGCTTTGGAAGTTCCGCATGAGCCCGAGTATAAAAATAGATCTTTTCCGACGAAGAGATGGTATCAAAGATGGAAGTGCTTGCGTGGGATCATTTTATTTTTATTATTTTTTTAAGATTTTATTTATTTATTTGACAGAGAGAGATCACAAGTAGGCAGAGAGGCAGGCAGAGAGAGAGGAAGGGAAGCAGGCTCCCTGCCGAGCAGAGTCTAATTCAGGACTCGATCCCAGGACCCTGGGACCACGACCTGAGCCGAAAGCAGAGGCTTAACCCATTGAGCCACCCAGGCGCCCTGTGCGTGGGATCATTTGAAAGGAGGTTGTGCTTTATAAAGTAATTGTTCTTCATAAAACCGCCCTGAAGCCCTTTGTGGCCTGTAGCAGGGTTTCAAAGAGCAAGAGGTACCATCAGTGTCTCCGTAAACTGCGCACGTCACTTACTCCTTGATGCACCTGTGTGACTGGGCCCTGGCCTCAGTTTCTTACAGGAGTCCGCCTTTCAGCACACTGCAGTTCCCACCCTCCCTGACTTCCTTCAGTGTTTGGTGAGCACCAGCTAGGGAGCACCGCCTTTTAGGCCCCGGACTCCCTGGCTTATATGCTGACTCTACCTCTTAGCTTTGTCTCCGGGAGCAAGTGCTTCTTAACCTTCCAGACCGGCTTCGTCCTTGGAACAACACAATGGAAATAATGATGTTACTATTTAATTTCCACGATTGTTGTAAAGATGAAATTCGATGGGACTTGCAAAATACAAAACAGTACTGTCGCTGGCACATAAGTGCTCCATAACGATTTGGAACGAGACCCAGTTCCTGCCCTTCTGAGGTTGATGGCCTAGAGGAGAAACAGATGAGTGAGGCCGTGGGGGGTGGTGCGTGATGGCTGACTGATTCCTTAGGTTAACAGCTGTTTTCAGGACTCGTTATGTACTGGGCAGTGTTCTGGAGATGAGGCAGTGGACTGAGCAGACAAGATGCCTGCGTTCACGAGGCTTACAGCTGGCTGGCAGTGGGATAGGGCTGTGCAGGGGAGAGACTGGGAGCAGGACCGACAGACTGGTTGAGGATGGAGGTTTGGGCTTCTGCATCTGAGGAGGCCACCTGGAGGAGGTGAGGCTTGCGTTTTCAGAACTGAGTGGACGTGCTGAACCAAAGTGGACGTGCTGTAGGATTCCATTTTCATAAAGCATAAGACAGGTGCAGCTAGTCTGTGGCGGTGGTTCCCTCTGTGGGCGGTTATTGATGGGGAAGGGACAGGTGTCGGGTGCACCTATGAAACCACCCAGGCATCTGTATACACTGAAGATTAGTGCAGGGTTTTATGTATGTTCTTTGTTGATGAGGAGTGAGCTGAATGGGTAGAAACAGGGGGAAGGTCCTACTTGAGAGCACGAAGGGCAGGGAGGAAAGGGTGTGGGACAGCGTGTGCCTCAGGCCAGCAAGCAGTCTGTCCCGTCCAGATGGAAAGATACCTGAGGGGCGGGGAAGGTGGTGTAACAGCAAGAAGCACCTTTAGGTACAGGCTGTTGCAGAAGAAAAAAAAATTTTTTCAAGCCCTGGGCATAAAGGCATCCCTTGCTAAGAAGGCCGAATGCAGAGTCAAAACTCACCTTGGTTTGGATCACTTGCCTCAGGACCTCCATGCAGCCTGCTCATCCTTTCAGTGGCCTTTTGGGGGATAATGTGAAATAACGGATGTCAAGTGCTTCATCCGCCATGTAGTATGGGCTTATTTCATTTTATTGTTTTAAGATTTTGAGAGAGAGCACAGAGTGAGGGGAGAGCAGAGGGAGAGGAAGAAGCAGAGTCCCCACTGAGCAGGGAGTCTGATGTAGACTCGATCCCAGGACCCTGGGATCATGACCTGAGCCGCATGTGCCCCTATAGTATGGGTTTGATCAGTGCTCCTGCTGCTGCTGCTTCTTTTTTTCTTTAAAGATTTTATGTATTTATTTTTTTTGACAGAGAGAGACATAGCGAGAGAGGGAACACAAGCAGGGGGAGTGGGAGAGGGACAAGCAGGCTTCCCACTGAACAGGGAGCCCTGATGTGGGGCTCGATCCCAGAACCCTGGTATCATGACCTGAGCCGAAGGCAGGGGCTTAATGGCTGAGCCACCCAGGCGTCCCTAATCCATGCTTAAGAGACTTTAAAGTCTGTGTGTGTGCGCGTGTGCATGCCTAATTTAATTAATTGCAATCTTGATACTTGACTTCCCAAATCAAAAACTGGGGATAACTGTATTATGGAATAATGCTTATCTGAGACTTCTGATCCTTCAGTTAAATAATTATTTTGTTTCATGTAATTATAGCTTATTAATATTTAAAAAGTCTCAGTTGTATTTTTCCTTAAAATTTTTTTTTTTTTGGCTCTGTTCATTAAGTCCTTTTAAGCATTTGGGAACAGTCTAAGAAAGTTCAAAGAATTTCTGTTTATTTCAGTAAGGCTCAAGTTTGGCAATCTCAGCCATAAGAGGAACTTTAAATATGTCTAGATTCACCTTTCTTGAAGTACTTTGAGTGTAGGGGGAGGAAGAGAGAATGGAGAGAGACTGACTTACTGGAATTTTTTTAAATGAAATTTATTGTTTAGAAATGTTGAGTCAGACGGAGTAGTCTAAATATCTTTATGTGATTATGTGTTGGTGTAATCCTCTCTTTATTAAATCTTAAACTGTCCTGTGAGAACTTCCACTTAATAAGTAGCCAGGTTCATTCAGAATCTTTTTAACGGCAATGACTAGCGTTCAGCCTAGATTCCCCGGATTATGTTTCTTAAGTAACTCACACCCCTTGTTCTAAAGGCCAGCCCTATAACTCTCCAGGGAATCTCCCGTTTTCTGGAACGGCTTTGCTTTCTCTGTCCCAGCACCTTGAGTCTCTCAGTTGTATATACCCTCTCTGTTTAGGAGTGAGCGAGCCCGCTGGATAACCGCCCTGGGACACAGCAGCGGGAAGCAGCCTCTGGACCGAACCTGTAAGTACCTGGAGGGCAGCCAGCTCTGGAACATGGAGGGGCTGTGCCCCCTGCTGGACGCTGGGTTGTTAATGGTTGACCACCACAATCCCTGCTCTGTGGTTCTTGTCCGAGCAGTAGTTCCTGTGGCCCTGCATCACAGAATCCTGTGATCCCTGCTTTGGAAGCCAGCGGATCTGAATTCAAATCCAAGGTGCAGTTCTTTGATTCAAATCCAAGATGCAGTTCTTTGTCATGTCAACGTGGCAAATTATTGCAAAACTTTCCTGAGCTTGTTTAATCTCCTGCGAGTCAGTTGCATTATTATATACAATACGGGGTTATCGTCAGGATTAAGTTAAAGAGCCTATGTTGAAAACCCTGCTTGTCCTGTAAAGCTCTTAGATTTTCAGCTCTTGTTAATGGACAAGAGTCTAATGTTTAAGCCTTCTCCATACGACAGTCTGAAGCTAAGCTGAAAGAAAATTACTTTACCATCCCTTTTGGCCTTATTTATTAAAGTGATACTATTAAGAAAATGCATTTCTTTCTTCTAGGGCAGTAGGAACGGATGCAGGAAAGGGCGGTGTCCTGTGCTTAATAGCGACTTAACTTTGATGTTAGGCATCTCTGGGTATTTCTAGCTGGAAGGTCAAATCAAAAGAACTAGAGCAGCAAAATTGGTTATCTTGGAGTGCTCAAAAACCATAGCTTTAAGCTTAGAGCCAAAACTAAAGTGATTGGTTTGAAAGTTGTCTAGAATAAAGTTTTCTATTATTAATAAATAACAAATTAAGAACTCAAGTCAGTCAGTCCCAAGTCACTGAAGTTATAATGTTTGCTTATGATTTAGCATTTTGGGGGAACTCTAAAATGTCCAACTTTTGCTTGGAGCTCCTTTTGTTTCTGAACATCTTTGGCAGCTTTCCTGTGCCGACCGGCTGGGGAGCCCCGTGGATGGAAGCCGGGGGAATGGATGTACTGCAGATGCTGGTGTCAGTTGCATGGCCTTGGCACGTTAATCTGTCTGGCCTCAGTTTCCCCTTATGCACAATGGGTGTTATCTGCTCTATTGTGTGTAGCTTGTCCTGGCTCTATTTGAGGGAATTTGTGCATCACAAAAGGCCTCTCACGATCCAGAGTGTCTAAAGTTCTAAGGCTCTTAGCCAAGTAAGTTCCTGGACAGTTTCTGTTTGGTAGACGCTTAACTTGTTTCTGCCAGCGCCGGCCTTGAATTGCACAGAAAGACTGAGTAAACGTACAGTATCGATTTGTACCTGTCTGGTTCTCCTCTGCTCAGCGTGTCCCCCGTTTCCCTCGCAGCACTGACCCAGGTGGAAATCATTAGATCGTTCACTGCCAAGCAGCCAGATGAACTCTCCCTGCAGGTGGCAGATGTGGCTCTCATCTATCAGCGGGTCAGCGACGGTGAGTGGAGGTTCTTACGGGCACACCCCACGCAGCTCTTGGGGTGCCAAAGAAGAGAGGAGTCTGGTTTTGTTTCTAACGCTCACATTCCATATCCCTTTGGTTTTCTCAATGCACCTGCCTTTCCTCTATCAACACTATTGCTTTTCATGTTTTCGAATAGGAATGCAGTCACATGGTGTATGATTGAAAAGCAACCTTGAATGGTCGTCCTTCCTTCCTAGCCCCCAGTGACTTAAGTGCTCATCTCCAGAGGTTCTTCCTTCCTCACTTAAAAAAAAAAAAAAATCAGTTTCCTGCTGCCCCCATCTATGTGTAGCGTCCCCTTCCTCAGCTCAGCCCAACTCCTGGGCTCTTATGCTCCCTTTGGGGCCACTGGTGGTGTCCCACCTCCGGTAAGTCATTCATTCCTTCTTGAGGCACTTCCCTCTGTTGCCTTCTCTGCTCGCCTTCTGTCCTCAGTCACGCACGAGCCAGGGTAAGCTGTAGCCGCTGAAGTTCGCTCACGTCCTCCCCGAGCCGGGCAGGGTTCCGGTTCCCCCAGAGCCCCGTCGCTTCATGGGGACTCTGCTCTCATTTGCAGGCTGGTATGAGGGGGAACGGCTGCGAGATGGAGAGAGGGGCTGGTTTCCTATGGAATGTGCCAAGGAGATAACCTGCCAGGCTACAATTGACAAGAACGTGGAGAGAATGGGACGCTTGCTAGGACTGGAAACCAACGTGTAGCCTCCTCGACGGCCTTCCACGAGCGTGAGATTTGCACTACATCCCGGCCGGCTGGTTGGTTCTGGGCCGGCTTTGTTGTTCATTTTAACGCAGCCTGTTTCATTAGAAGAATGGAAACACTTGCCTTTACGCTTGCCAGGTGGTTCTGCTCTCTCGGGAGAACAGCTACCAGATACAGTGAGTTTGCAAGTCTCAGTGTGAGCACGCTGTCCACGTGCAGCCTTCTCGAGGCCCGCAGATAGAGGGGAGTCTGCTGCGGGGGCCAGGAGGCTGAAGCTCCAGCCGGGCTCACCCTTTTCTGGCCTGGAAAATGGATATTGGAGGCTGTGCCCTGGTTTTCTTTTTCCTCTTTCACCAAGAATGTTACTGTCCCTCCTTTTAACCTCTCCTTTGTATGGTTCTCCCGGTCTTAGCAAGGGTCTGTGTGTTTAAGGAATGCCCAGTTTTGTAAATATTTTTTTCTGCCTCTTTTATTTTAGATCTGATTCTAATGCTAAGAGCATTTCACAAGGAACTTGTAGAGCTCAAAAGGTGAGCTGTTGAGTTTTTCTAAACCTCTTCCCGGGAAAAGGGAAACTGACACTTGAATTTTTGCCACCTCTTTCCTCATTGGGAGAGAAGCTTACTTTAGAGATTTTCTTTTTAAATCGATCTTACCCAGTATTGGTCTCCGATAAGTAGAGCCTAATGAAACCCTACTCAGGCTACTCAAATAAGAATTTAGATGGTTCGCATGAGTGAAAAAATGCTGAATATAGGAGAGGGTCCTACTTTTTTTTTTTGGAATGTTCCCAAATGAGCTGATAAACTGACATGAGGCTGCTTTGCCTTTAATAATTTTGCCTTTTATAATTTCTTTAATAAAGATTTTGACTGTTCCTACTCCTGTTTCTAAACAGGAAATTGGCCAAAACACAATCTCAAGGTAAAATTAGACCCTACCAAGGAATCAAGATGCCAACACGGCATCTAACTGAAACATTACATTTTGGTCTTAACGGGAATCCATTTTATATGCACTAAAGGTCTTGCTTGCTGGATTTGGAGGATCTCTCCACCATGGGTGTCTGCAGAACTTTTATTTCTTCCGTCTCCTGCTGGTGCAAGGAGAGAGGATTTTAATAGTTCGTTTCATAGAGAGGGAATGAGGGTTTGGAAGATGGAGGGGGCAAGGTGGTTTTTATTGGCAGGTAGGTTCCTCTCCATTCCATTTTCTTCTACAGAGCGATAAACCCTGGCAAAGGGTGCATTATTCAAGAACTCAGATCTGTGACACATTCCACCCATTACCCGCCAACCAGGTACCCAAATCATGAGCGAAGTGGGTAAAGCAGAAGCTCAGGGTGGGAGCTATGTATGCTTGCCTCACACACCCTGTCCTGCCAGCTCAGCTGTGAGCCACTCCAGTGCACCTGGGGCCTTCTCGTCCCTGGATCCGTCTCCTTGACTTATGCAGACATTTCTGGGTGTCAGAGACAGGCAATCCCCTGAGGGCCTTGAGGTCTGGGCCAGTCAATGAAGAGCAGTGGACACAGCAGATTTCTCCAGGTTGGTATAACAAGGAGTCGATCTCTTCTTTCATGTCACAGACCTTTTAGAGGAGAGGTTAAGAAATTGTACTCTAATCTCATGTGATGTTTGCATTTAAGAAGGCAAATGTTTTGCTTGCAAAGGGATCATTTTGTTATTTTTGCTAATATCCATTTGAAGCTAAAAACAACCGTAGGAATCCTGTGAATTAATTTATAAGTAGAGATGTTAAACGGACTTGGAAATACAGGTGTTTTATAAATCAAAGCCTCATCCAGCAAGCAGGTGAGTACTGTTACTGGGTCTTGTTGTTACACAGCGGGTGTGTAACACACCCAGTTTCATTTCCACCATGAACTGTCATTTTCATAGGACAGTACTGTTTTCCAGCCTAGTTCAGTTTCTACGAATAACTTCTCAGAACTGTACAACGTCTTCATTCAGTGACCTGGGGAGAACAAACACACTCATTTTTGTCCCAACGAATCGATACTGCTTGTATACTTTTGGTGCAGTGAGTTTATAAAGATTTTGTATATACTTGTTCTTTTGTATTTGTGTGCTTTAATTCACTATAGCATGTATTCATTTATATAATTTGCTAAATGTTTGGTCAACTCAGGAGTTCTACTCAGAAGGTTATCTACAGCTAACATAAAAGGGCACTGATCTTGTCAGGTACATGTTGCCATCAGCTGCCTTAGAAGGCTGGAGCATTTTTAAGAGCTGGGCCCTGATGTTTCTTCTAGTTTCCACAAAACTGCACAACAGAGTAACTTAAGTAGTCGGTGGTTCCCTTGACGCTAGCTCTTACTCATTTTGGCATCCTAGTATCTGAACCTTTGTGCTTGTGAAATCTCACCACCTTGTGAATCTTGGTGGAAGGCAAGAAAAGACTGACTCCTGTGTTAGTTTTCTTTTACTGCATAACAATGACCACAAACTTAATGGCTGAAACCAACATCCATTCATCATCTCACGGTTCCATGGTAAGAAGGCCGACATGGCATGGCGGGTTCTCTACTTAAGAGTTTCGGTCTCAGAAGGCAGACACTGACACCAAAGTGCTAGCCGGCTGCTCGCTCAGCCAGAACGTGCTATTACCTTCTTTCATGCTCACACCTGTTGTTGGCAGAATTCAGTTCCGTGTGGTTGTGGGACCCAGGTCCCTGCTTCGTTGTTGGCTGCCAGGAGTGTGGGAAGCTCCCAGCTTCTTGAACCTGTTCATATTCCTCACCATGGGTTCCTTCATCTTCAAGGCCCCCGTGGCATGTTGAATCTTCCTCATTCTCACACTTGGAATCTGACTTCATCTTATACTACCAGCTAGAGAAAACTCTGCTTTTAAGGAACTCATGTAATTACATTAGGCCTACAGGATAATCACCCTTACGATTAATTCAAAATCCACTGATTTGTGATCTTAGTTACACAAAATTCCTTTACTGTGCAATGTAACATAATCACAGGTGTGACACAGGGCCAGGCGGGTGGCACGGCGATAATGGGGATCATCTTTTAAGTTCTGCCTTTAATACTACTGTAAACCTTAAAACGCTAGATACTTAGTTTCCTTTTATCTTGTATTTATGAAAATACAGCCATGAGGTTGGAAACACCAATCAAAACCTTCTTTGTTGGAGTTCTACTCAAGTTAGTGATGGAAAAGGAAGGAGATGTACCTTCTCTGGAACTAGCAAGATACATTCCCCTTTGCCGCTACACTCTCCCTGGGCTTTAGAAAGCTGCAGAGACGGAGCTGCCTGAGGGGACATGAGTGCAAAATACTGCAGGGCAGAGCTCAGTGCCTCAGGTGCTCACTCTTGTGGACTGAATCCCCAAAGGGCTTACTTTGGAGTGAGGATATGAACTTGGAGGACCTCAAGCTTTGCTCCCTGAGCTTCTCGCACACTAAGGACCAGACAAAAGTTAGTTAAACCTTATTGTGAAGGAAGCTAGCATTATCTTAGTTCTATTTCCAAAAACAAATTCTCAAGAGGTTCGGCAAATTAGCAAACACTTCGAGACATAGCCATCCGTGATACAGAAGAAACAGATACTTACAGGGACTAGATATTGAAATCATTAGATATATCAAACAATTATTACTATCATTTTTAGAGAGAGAAAGCCAAACTTTAAAATGCAATATAGTACAGGGCGCCTGGGTGGCTCAGTGGGTTAAAGCCTCTGCCTTCGGCTCAGGTCATGATCTCTGTGTCCTAGGATAGGGAGCCTGCTCCCCACCCCCACTGCCTGCCTCTCCGTCTACTTGTGAACTCTGTCAAATAAATAAAGTCTTAAAAAAAATAAAATGCAATATAGTATTAACAACTCTAAGCAACAGAGGAAAACAAACCAAAAACTGAAACAACACCAGGAATTCTAGAACTAGGCTGAACAGATAAGATAGCTGGTGAACTGGAAGAGAGGCTGGAAGAGCCCACAGGGAAGCGTGTAGAACAGAGACAGAATGCAAAGATTCAGTTGGAGTTCCACAGGAGAGAGGAGAGAGGAGCACTGGCAAGGGGACCTTTGTAACCTGTTCTGAGTGGTCGCCAGATGCAGGCTGTCCCCGGGGAGAGGAAATGGCCTTGGGTAAAGTGGCTCTTTCCAGCTGAGGACAGTTCCTGCAGAGCGCTGACAAGTGAAGGCCATCATGTGACAGCACTTGTAGCAGCTAAGGGACTCGTCCTTCAATCCTGAGGGAGGATCTGGGCAGAACATCACAATATTCAATACATAGAGCTATTGTCAATATTTGACAAAATAGTCTTGAAGATAAAAGGTATGACCAGGGATAGAGAGAGCTTTAGATAATGATGGAAGGTTTATTGAACCAGCAAGACATAACGATTCCATATATTCCTCCCAAGATTATGGTCTCAATAGATATAGATATATATCTATATATAGATAGATATAGATATAAATAAAAAATAGATATAAAACAAAATTTGGGAGAAATAGAAGAAATCCAAAATCATAGCATATGACACTTAAACTCTTATTTGCTACATAAAAGTATAATAGATAAAAATCAAGGAAAGTGTGGAAGATCTGAACAATTTAACTTAATAGGCATATTCAGGAAATTGCAACAATTTAAACATGTATGTTCAAGAACACACAATATTAAAACATTTGACCATTTCCTGGGTCATAAATTTTAAATTTATGATTTAAATGTGGTCAGATTTTAAAGGACTGAAATTACACAGATTTCTAGGACTATATTTAGGTTAGAAATCAGTAACAAAAATAACCACTTACTTGAAAGCTTAGACCTAAATGTAAAAATATAAAGCTATAGAACTCCTAGAAGGTAACACAAAATCTAGGTGACCTTGGGTTTGGTTATGACTTTTTTGACAACACCGAAAGCAATGTATATGAAAGAAAAAGAAAATGATAAATTGAACTTTGTTAAAATTAAAAAGAATGAAAAGATAATCCACAGAGCCAGGAGGAAATCTTGCAAAACAAATAAAGGTTGGCATCCAAAATATAAAAGGACTCAACTCTCAACGATTAGAGAACAATTTAGCTAGGGGCGTCTGGCTAGCTCAGTGGGTGGAGCATGAGATTCTTGGTCTTGGGGTTCTGGGTTTGAGCCCCAGGTTGGGTGTAACTCAATTAAAAAATGGGTTCTTTGAAAAGATGAATACAACTGATACACCTTTTAGCAAAACTAAATAAAAAGACTAATTACCAGTGTCAACAATGAAAGAGAGGTGGGGCGCCTCAGTGACTCAGTTGGTTAAGCGGCTGCCTCCGGGCTCAGGTCATGATCCCAGGGTCCTAGGATTGAGTCCAGCATCGGGCTCCCTGCTCAGCGGAAGAGCCTGCTTTTCTCTCTCCCTCTGCCTGCTGTTTCCCCTACTTATATGCTGTCTCTGTCAAATAAATTAAAAAAAAAAAAAAAAAAAAGAATGAAAGAGAGGCTATCATTAGATTCCTTAGACATTAAAAGGATAAGGAGATATTTAAGTAACTCGAGACTCCTAAATTCAACAACTTCGATAAAATGGGCCAATTCAAGGAAAACCACAAACTATCAAAGCTCTAAATAATTCCATAACTAATAGATTGAATTTGTCTAAAAACTTAGACAAAGGAATTAACAAGGAATTAACACCAATTCTATACACCTCATCTAGAACTTGAAGAGGACTAATAACTTCCCAACTCATTTTATGAGGCCAGAATTACCCCCACAAAAAGGAAACTATAGATTAGTTTATATCATTAT